CGGGCGGGATGCTGGAGGCTAGGAGCCAGTGATGGACATCCGTGCTGGAACTGTGAGAAGGGACGCCAGCATCTGGGTGGGTGAGAGGTTCAGAGTCAGAGCCCGGCTGGGTTCAACCCCGCTCTCCCTGTCCGCGACTGTGGTCGGCACAGCCTCCACTACTTCCCTAATTGATGCCCGGCCAGTATCACTCTGGGATCAGTGGTCAAAGGGAAGGTCCTCTGAGAGAGCGCAGGCGCGGTGAGAGCTCAGTTTATGGACAGGGTAGTGATGATGCTCAGTCCTCAATAATTAAAAAAAAAAAACAACACTCAGGGCCTCACCCCGCGCTCCAGGTCTACCGGGTTCTGTCCCCACAGGTGGAGGAGTTCGAACAGGACGTTCCCCAGGACTTGGGGCCACTGCAGTTGGTGAAGTTGCGCAAACACCACTCCCTGGTGGACGACGCCTGGTTCTGCGACCGCATCACCGTGCAGGGCCCAGGAGCCTTAGAGGAGGCCGCCTTCCCCTGCTACCGCTGGGTGCAGGGCCAGGGCGTGCTGACCCTGCCCGAGGGCACTGGTGAGGGGCCGCCTCAGGGAAGTGGGTGTGGAGCCCAGGGAGTAGTGGAGGTGGAGGGAAACAGGGATATCACTGAGGAAGGCCCTAGGGATTGAGAAAGTACATACTCAGTAGGTTAAAGGTGGACAAGACAGGAAAATAGGAAAAAGTTAAACATAATTACAAAGGCTGGAAGTGGGACTGGACTGGGAAATGAGTGATGTGTAGATCCTACCTCCCAAAAAGGTGAGCAAGGCAATGGGAGGTGCAGCCACACTGGGAAACAGAAGAGCCAAAGTAAAGTGGAAAGGATCTCCGTGTGACTGGGAATAATTTAGGGCAGGGACAGGTAAGGCTAGCACATGTGACCCCTGAGAGAAGGCAGGGAAAGGAAGCAATACATGATATGATGTGGAGAGCTGGTTTGTGAAGAGTTGTGTTCCATGTTCTCATGAAAGAAAACTGTGAGGGCAGGGAGCGAACTGCCTGGGGGGTGGGGGTGGATATGAATGAGGACAGCAAACAGAGAATCCGTTACCTTAGGGAAAAAGTACAAGAGACAATTGAGGGAAATGACAGGTAAGACTGGAAACCTGAACTAAATGTCTTTGAGGCACAAGTAAGTATAAGTACTGACGAGGGCAGGATTAAGCCAGGTTACCAACTATAAACTATGTGATATTGAGGACAGGTGAGATGAAACTAGGTAAAGTAGCAACATGGATTCATTGCTCGGTTTGGCGCACATAGAATACCTTATCCCAGGGAACAGGTGACAGTGGAAGTAAGCTGAGGTCAGAGGAGGTAAGTGTACTTTACTTGAAATATGTCATTTTGGAGAACAGCTTAAGGTGTGGACAGGAAAGAACCAGGCCAGGGGAAATTAACAAAGGAATATGGAGTAATGTAGGATAAGTATGGACATTTCAGCTGATTAAGAATGAAATTTATAGATACTGTGATGAAGAACAGGGATAGATAGGAAAATTTTAGTTAAGGTTTACAATAGGGTGTCAAAAATTGGATTTTCCTCTCAGAAAATATATGAGATTGAAGATTGGTGAAATTAAGAAAAGGGAGTGGGGACGTGTGAATGACTAGGGAACTAAGCAGAGGAGACAGGGACAGAGAAAAAATCAAAAGAGTATGATACCATACAGTTAAGAAATAGGAGATTGTGATCCCACTTCCAGGAGTATATCCTAAGAAGCCCTAAACACCAATCAGAAAGAATATATGCACCCCTATGTTCATTGCAGCATTATTTACAATGCCTAAGATCTGGAAATAGCTCAAGTGCCCATCATTAGATGAGTGGATAAAAAAGCTGTGGTATATTTACACAATGGAATAATATGCAGCTGCAAACAATAAGGATTTCTTACCCTTTACAACAGCATGGATTGACCTGAAGAATATTATGCTGAGTGAAATAAAGCCAGTCAAGAAAGACAAGTATCATATAATCTCACTCATAAGTGGAATCTAATGAACACAATAAATTGATGAACAAAATAGATCCAGAGACATAGAAGCATGGAGCAGACTGGCATACTCAGAGGTGGGGTGGGGAGTGAGGGGAGATGGGAAGAGATTAAAACCAAATAACTTGTAAATATACATGCACGCGTAACTATGGGTACAGCCAATAGTGTGGTGAAAGCCCCTCCATTAACCTTTGTCCCCATATCCTAGCTGGGCCACCTGGAAGGAAGGGTTACCCATGACAATTGCTGCAGGCAGTTTAGATGATCTGCCTCCAAATATGAGATTCCATGAGCAGAAGAGGCTGGATTTTGAGTGGACAGTGATTGCAGGGTGAGGAAATGGTCAGAGTGGAGTGGGGCTGGTGGATCCAGGAACAGGTAGGATTTGGTAAATTGGTGGTTTCATCTTTGATATCTGCTCTAGACATATGGAGATGGTCCTCAAATATGTTTACACCCTCCCAAGCCCCTGGAAACGCCTGGAAGATTTTGATCAGATCTTCTGGGGACAAAAGACTGCCATGGCTGGTCAGTGGTTTTCCCAGGTCCCTATCAATGAGGTATGTGTCACACTCCATAGTCCCCAAAACTTCTTGCCAAAAAAGAACTTACACCTGGAGATCTCACAACAGCCTCATGAATGAAAATATATGGGCTGGGTATGGAGGAGTCATGAGACTTAATCCCTGTAGTAGAGTCTGAAGGAGAGAAACATCAGGTTGTGGTGAATATCCTCCTCCTAACCTCCACTCTGACCCCACAGAGAAGGTTCGCCGGCGCTGGCAGGATGATGAGCTTTTTGGCTACCAGTTCCTCAATGGCGCCAACCCCATGGTGTTGAGACGCTCCACCTCTCTGCCCTCCCGGCTGGTGCTGCCCGCGGGGATGGAGGAGCTTCGGGCCCAGCTGGAGAAAGAACTCCAGGTACAGCCTCCAGCCCATGATTGTCTTCTCCTTGTCTGTGAGAGGAGTAAAGGTGGTGAAGGGGAGGGACCAAAGTTGAATCTGGAAAGGGAGGCTGTGGTAACCCACTGTCCCTGGGTGTAGAGTCCTCTG